TTCCACATTGCACCACGGCCGCTGCCGGACTCGAATCACCACTCGTTTCTTTAAGATCCAAGACTAAAAGTAAAGTTAAAATCCACATTTTTAGGGAACGGTACCAAACAGCTGGTGCGAGATTCATTACTGTCTTTTAGCAAAACGAGGTTAGAGCTGGGGCACGCGGAGAGAGTCCTGGAGATGGGCTGTGTGTTTGCCAGCCTTTCTCTCTCTCACTCCATCACTGTTTTAAGATCCAGGGGAAACGTTTTTGCGGAGCATCCAGCTGCATTGGGGGCAGGGGACTCACTTTCACATTGCATTTCTTTAGTACGAAGGTGGACTCCTCAGAGGGCTCCCCGCTGCCCCCCAGCTACACTGACATTCTGTGGGTGCTCATTTTTGCTTTAAAGAAACTCAAGAGTGGCTGGAGGAGACCGATTCTGAAGAGGACAGTGATGCGGTCGAGGGTGCTGAGGGCAGAGGCGAAGATGAGGAGGACGAGGACAGCGGCGAGGACAGCGGCGAGGAGGGTGGGGGTAAGTGGGCGGGTGGGCCTTGCTTGCCTGTCGTCAGTGCCGACGGGAGGAGTGCTGGGAACGCAGGGGGCTGAGCCCCTGCAGAGCCAGAGCACTCCATGCCAAGCTGAGAGCTCGGGGGTCCCTTCTCACCCAAAGTCCTGATTCTTACTGGTAATGACAGGCTTTCAAGTTTTACTAAATGTTTATTAACATCTGACTTGGCTTTGTAGGTGGGCTCCTCAGACAAGCTTAAGTGTTTAAAAACTACTCGTATCTGGAGGGCTTGTGAGCAGCTTGCTGTTTAAGCAATGTCGTTGTGGCTCCTTTGATAAAGCGTGGAATGCCCTGCGAGTCGTTTCTGCAAACCCAGGCTCTCACGTGTTCGCTTCATTAGGCAGCAAGCGGGCAGCCTCCTTCCTCGGCTGAACGTGTCTCTTTCTTCTTTCCCTCCTTCCCGTGAAAGAGCAACATCACCCCTTGGTGAGGCCTGGCGAGCAGTTTGCAGACTACCTGCCCCGGACCGAGCAGTACTGGGTGCAGCTCGCCCGGGATGCCACCAGGCCTGGCGCACAGGAGAAGAGCGTGCTGAGAGCAGCCCACGCCACAGCGAGAGCTTTCTTTGATGACTCGGCGTAGGCCGCCACACGGGGCCCAAGCGACCCGGAGTGAGGTGTAGTGGCCTTCCCTCAGCCTCGCTGGCGCAATCTAAAGCGAACTGGATCTGGAGCGAGGCTGCTGCAGAGGTGGGCTTCCGTGCAGCCCTGTGTGCACCGTGGTTCTGGTGGGGCCTCCGTGCAGGGCAGTGCTGAGCCGAGCCGAGGCCACCCCACACAACAGGTGGTACCTGGAATTTGAGCTGCAACATTGGTACTTTGTGGGGGGTTTCCCTTCTGCAAAACTCAGAGACAGATGTTCTGATTGACTGCACGTTGTCAACCTGGAGATGGTCTCTGATTCCTAAAAATGGTTGGTGGTGGTCCACCTACTGCCTGTACACGCTTTCCGAGTTGTCTGTGAATAAAGCCCCTGTCCGCTGGGCGGCTCTGCTCTTTCTCTGCCACTCACCTTGCTGGGGGTCTCTGGGTGCCTGAGGGCTCCTTACTTCTCAGAACTGCTCCCATAGCCCTTGCGGGAGGAGGTGGTGGAGCCTTTCTCTACTCTTTTCTCTTCGGGCCCAAGGTTGTCATCTGCAAAGTGACAGGAAAGGAGGTTGGAGGGCAGGGACCCCACGGTCCCCATGTGGCGTCGCTGTCCAGCGCCTGGCTCAGGAGCAGTGTTCATTGCAGTGGAAGTCTGGTGCATTCACATGCCGACTGGTGCCCGCTCCAAAGTTAATGGCAGGAGACCAGTTTTCATTTGTATAATTGGGGTCAAAAGTTGGGCTTTGAATTCACACCTGGTGCATTTTCTCATCTTAAATACAACGAGAATGTAGGATTCTTAGTTTTCAGTGATAGGGCAACATCCCATTCATCACCTGGAACAGGTCATCCTCTACATTACCTGGAAGTTTAGGGGAAAAAAAGTGGCAGCGCCCACCTCCGGCAGAGCAGGGCGTGGGCCCGGGAGGGCTTTAGTGCAGGGACGTGGGCCGATGTGCCCAGAAGCAGCCCCTCACCCCACCCAGCCTTTATCTTCCCTGGGTGCTCGGCCCCCAGCTCCAGTGGGTGTGACCTCACTTGTCAGACTTCTCTCCCTTACGAGCTGCTGTGTATCGGGACGAGGGGCGTGGGCTCCTGCAAGCTGAGCAGAATTAGGAAGCTCTCCCCCTGCGGGAGCCTGCGTGCTGCATCTGCGTGCCGGAGCCTTGCTCTGGGGGCAGTGCCCATGGCAGCCGTGGTCATCGGAGAGGACAGGCCGGTGGCAGCAGCCAGCACCTGCCTGGTTGACATGGGTTGTGTTGCTGGAAGGCCTGGCTTCAGCGGTGTCTCTGTGCACTTCTCTTGGGTGCTGGGGCAATCTGGGTTTTTTCCTGACATTCTGGGCAGAGTCCAGCTGGAAGATGCTAGGAACGCCACAGAAGCCCTCCCGGTGCCCACCCCACTGGCCCCGGGATGCAGGCGCTCCAGGTCTGACCCTGTGGCCACCTCTTTGCTGCTGCTGTGGGAAGAGGTAATTAATTGGAAGATCTTGTCGGCTCCAATGCACTTGTGTGTTATCAGAGGCCATTTTCTTACCAGGGGGCCTGTACTAGATGAGATTTGAAGGAAGATATTTTTGAATCAGCGATGTTGAAAGAAATAACAAACCCCCTGAAGAGGAAACTTCTCATACAAACAAGTCTGTGTTGCTGTCATGTCCACAGGGTTATTGCCAAAAGTGCAGTTTGAGTGAAAGAGGCTGGTCTGAACCCACAAGGATTAAATAAACAAGGTTCCAGAAAAGGAGCTGCCTCTCTGTTTGACTGCTGTGATTAAAACACCAGTAAAGCCCAGCCTTAAATGTGCAGCAGCAGGGCAAGGGGGGGACAGGACCTAGCGCCACCCCGGGAGCAGCAGGGTGAGGGGAGGACGGGGCTCAGCACCGTACTGGGAGCAGCAGGGCGAGGGGAGGACGGGGCCCAGTGCCGCCCGGGAGCAGCAGGGAGAGGGGAGGACGGGGCCCAGCACCACACTGGGAGCAGCAGGGAGAGGGGAGGACGGGGCCCAGTGCCGCCCGGGAGCAGCAGGGCGAGGGGAGGACGGGGCCCAGGGCCCCCCGGGAGCAGCAGGGCGGGGGGAGGACGGGGCCCAGGGCCCCCCGGGAGCAGCAGGGCGGGGGGAGGACGGGGCCCAGGGCCCCCCGGGAGCAGCAGGGAGAGGGGAGGACGGGGCCCAGCCCTGCGCCACCATGGGAGCAGCAGGCAGCATGCCATCCCGCTCCCCTCTGTCTGCTAGTGACTGTTTTGCTGAGCTGAATGCTCTTGACACCCCAACAGCCATGAGTGGCCAGCATGAAACCCCGAGGCGTCCATCCCTGGGTTGCTGGAGGAGACGGCTGTGTTTAGGGTCAGCGAGGGCCCTGCGGTCACCCATCCCGTTTGCCTGCTCCCTGGTTTGCCGAGTTGTTAGGGTACCCCTTTCCTGCTCCCCATTGATGTGTTCTGCCCCTCTACTACAGGTCCTTGTCACTTGGCCACACCTCCCCTGTGAACACCTGTCCAAGCAGGAAGTCAGTGGCTAGGGGACAGTAGAAATACATGAAGGGACCAGAGACTGGACGAGCCTGCCCAGGAGACAGCCTCTCCAGGGCCGTCCCACTTGGAGAGGGAGGGACCCCTCAAGAGCCGCCCCATGTGGGATCCGGGGCTAGCTCAGGGACAGGTGAGGAAACATCACTGAGAGTCACCCATAGAAACCCCCAAATGTGTCAGTGAGGAAGTGGTGACACAAGTGGATGGCTGTCACCTAGCATGAAGGACGAGTGATCACATGATACCCGTCTGCATCTGCTGCTTCCTCCGTGAGCACTGAAGGAACTTCCTGATAACTGCTCTTTTCCCCGTGTTTTAAGTCGAGAAGCAAAGCTGTGTGGGCCGTCAGTCAGGAGAGACCGGCCTCGTCTCGTCGGCCCGGGAGCTCCCGAGCGTGGAACACAGTCATCTTCATTGCTGTCCAAGTCCAGACCAGGCCTGGTCACCAGGGGTCTGACCATGAGGGTCCAGCAGAGGAAGCTAAGGCACCGGGCAGCACGGCCGGTGGCCACAGGTGCTGGGACCAAGGCGCCTCCGGCTCCCCAGCGCAAGCCCATCCTTGTCCTTGTCTCAGCCTGAGTAGCCCCTCCAAGCTCCCCACTGGATCTAAGCCTTTGGGGACTTGAGGTGCCACCGCGGGCACAGCCAGCACCCAGCCTGGTTGGCTGGTGCCGTGCGGGAGCAGGAGCAGAGCTGGGGCTGTCACCGTACGACCGAGATGGGCTCGTGGAGCACAGAACCATGGGACTCCAGAGGCAGGGTCCTCCCCGCCGTGAGGGCAGGGGTAGGGGTGCTTCTCATCCAGGGAGCTGGGCCTGGAAAGACCAGGGTGTGCCAGGGGAGGCTTTTCAGGCAGGAGAAACTCTAATGGGAAAAAAAGATACTGAGTAACTGCCCCGTGAGAAACACAGATGTTGCAGTTTAAGAAAATTAAAAATAGGCTCGAGGAAGCAATACTGTGAGGTCCTTGGGGCAGAGCCTGTCTCGGTGGTCACCTCTGTGTCCTCCGTCAGCTAGTAGAGGGGAGTGAGTGGAGGCGGGACGCAGAGGCCTCGGGCACCCGGCTTGCAGTGGGGAACCTGGGCCCTGGGACAGTGGATGTGGGGACTGCTACGTGGGAAGATGGGGGTGGGGACACGTTCCACATTCGTGTTCACAGAGCTCTCCTCAAAGAGTAATAAGATCCTCCAAATGTGACAGAGGGACGCTGTCAGGTAACTGCGAGCTTGGTTCCATGGAATTTGCATTTATCCATCTCGAAATTTTGGGAATAGAGGGAACTTAGAGGAGAGACACTGACTTAGAATGAGATGATGCGACTTAGCCAAAGTTTCAAATGACGACGTTTATTACTAAAAGGAGCAAAATTTTTCTTGAATCTCGACAGTGTCCTTTGCTTTCAGATAATGAAATATATAGTAATGGTATGATTTAAACAGTTACATTCATTAAAGAAAATTATTTTATTTTCATTTTGTAAGTAACCAAGCTATTTTTCCAGCTAAGAGAAAAGAAAAAAGGCCGAGGTAACGTTTTTAGCCGCTTCATCAATAAGAAAAATCAGAACATAGTCAACATTCCCTTTTTGTCAATGCACAGAATGATCGCACTGTGGTAGCAAACAGTTTACATGCACCAGGGGAAAACGGAAAAAAGAAAGTGCAGATTGAGACCGATTTCTGTTAGAATTCACAAAAAGGCATCCACGTCAGGGGTAGTGGTTTCATGTCTAGAGTGCGGGCAGGGTCCCACAGCTGCCCACCCGAGCGGTGAGGGCCGTGTTGGGTTATTTCACTCTGGCTACATGGGATGGCGTGGCTTTGGAAATGGAGAATGGCGCAAATAAGAGCCCGGCCGGAGAGCACTGTCGGGTGTAGCTCAGCGTACGGGGGCACTGGCAGGTCAGCGGTCAGGGGGTGCGTCTGCTCATGGAGCCACTGTGCGTGCGTGGGGGCAAGGGCCAGGAGGTTCTGCAGCATGGGGCCCAACGGGGCCACGCTGCTTTGATGGTGGCAGTGACAGCACTCAGTGGAGCAGGGCTCATTCAGAGCCCCAGTGGGAGGAGCTGGGGGTCCTGGGCTGGTCATGCAGGAGCAGCCTAGAGTGAGGCATGCCACAGTGCTCGGCCCCACAGAGCCGACTCCCCTCCTCCTGCGCCTCCTCTTCCCCCTGAACCTGATCGCAGTGTCCTTCCCATTTGGGGTAACTGGAGAGGGGCCCTCCTCCTGACTGTGTCCTGCCTTTTACAGGCGCCACCCAGAGTGGGATAAGCATCATTCACTGAAGGTCAGCTGGCTGCATAATGTATCTGCCCCATTTGGAACTGATAACGTTGAGCAAGGGAGAAAGACCCGCAGGCTGTGTACGTGCTCTCCGCAGTCACGGGTGAGCACAGGATCCGATGGAAAACCCTTTGTCTGTTCCACGTGTCATCCTACAGGAAACACGACTGTAAGTGCTTGTCTTAAGGGACTAGAAATTCTCACAGCTGCTTGTGTGTATCAAGGACTAGACGTGCACTGACCTCTAAGGAGACAGCCTGGGCGCCTGTCTGACCTTCACAGCAGGCAGGGAATGAATTACCAAAGCGAGCTGAACCAAGCGTTCTGAATGAGGTGCTGCCAGCATGGGGGAGCAGCGGTCCAGCCAAGACCCATCTTGGCCATTCCTCGAGGCCTCCTGCCCTTCATGAGTTTGGACTGCCCCCGTCACCATATCACCAAGCAGTGACGGCATAGTTGGAGACCTGCATCCATGTGGCACATACACGACGGGAAGGGCAGTGGGAAAGGGTGTGCACAGGCATGACAACAGGTGTGCGCAGTGTGGGGCCCGGGCCCGTGACGCAGGCGCGCAGTGAGGGGAGCGGTGGGGTGGAGAGAAGTGAGGTAGGTGTGTGAACTTGGCTGCTCTTGCCCGCCCTGCTTGCTGTCCCCTGCACCCCAGACTCCCCGGGGCAAGCACGTCCACACTCTGAGCTGCCCCCGATGGGGCTGCCTGCTTCTCGGAGGTATAGAAACAAGCTAGAACAAACATGTTTGCCCACTCATCTCTCAGGCACTTCCACGTTGGGATGTCACGCAGAAGGAAGCTCTGAAGACAGCTTTTGTTCCTAACGTGTGGGCCACGGTTCTGGAGAACATTTAGCCATCTTCCAAAGCATTAGCTCATCACTCCAGGGGTTCCACTGGCCGGGCACCACACCGCACCGTGTCTCCCTCTGCCGCTTCCTCTAGGGGCCCAGCGTCTCCCCCACGTCCTCAGAAAGGAAACATCTCCCCAGGTGTTTGAGTGACTGGCCGCTGCGTTTCCACAGCTCGCAGACATTCTGCATACTCCATAGTTCATGTCCAGGCACGCGCAGACACTGTAAAAACAGCTGCATTTTTCTTTTTTAAACAAAGGCAACCGTCCTTCCTCTTGTGTCTTTTAAGGCTGAGTTGCCGACACTCCTCAGCACTTGGAGCCGCTGGCTTCCCCAGTCTTCGCTCACTGACGGCATCACCTGACACGTGGCCAGGCCCGGGCAAGAACCAGACCAATCGGACGCCCCGAGCTGACCGACTTGTTCCTCCTCCTCTGCAAGCTTGATCCTCTGACTTCACGTTACGCTTAACTGACTAGGAGCAAATCTTTGTCCTAGGCAAGATAAAAACGACTCCATCGTGGAGTTGACTCAGTATGAGGAAAATCTGAGGCGTCTGTCAGCTGTACTCAGTACTGTCGGTTGGTTGTAGGGTCGGGCGGCACATTCAGTTATGGAAATAGATGTCTTAGAATCTAGTAGGCACCTTTATGTGAAGTTTCTGAGACCAAAGGCAAGAAAAATTGGAAGACAAGACCTGTAAGAGTTAAAGAAGCTGAGCTTCATCTAGAAAAGAGGTTGCCCCTTCCACCCTTAGTCTTGAGAAACATCTTACTGTCCGTGTGAAATGAAGTGACCCCCTGCAGGAGGGCCACTGGGGCATCTGAGGCGCCCACTGGGCATCCCAGCTAGAAGGGCCTCCAGAGGGGCAGTACAGGTGCTGATTCAGGGTGCCTGGGAGTCTCGACGATCAAAACCCAAACTGAAAACTGCAGAAACCAAAGACAATTTCACTCGCTCCCCTAGTCTGTCATCTTCAACGAGTGCATGACGTCCTGGGCTTGGTGTCGCAACAGCGCCACTGGGCTCTCCGTAACGGCCTCCGCTTGTTAGGTGGGGTCGCCATATAATTTATTTTCTAAACTAGGACTCTTTTGAAAGTGAAAAGGAGTACTTTTATGATGAGGTTGGGACATCAAGCGTTAGCCAGGAGCGGAGCTGCCCTAATTGTGTGCCCTGGGCACCAGACCCGGGCTGTGGGCTGGCGAGACCCAACCTGTGTTCTTCACACTTCCTGAGGAATCTCGGGTTTGTGCACGTAGGAAAGAGCCCATCATCCTAAACATAGGTGTTTACTCACAGCCCATACAATGGGGTTTCCGTGAAGAAAGGAGTTACTGGTCGTTAGCTGTGGGCTTCCGAGGAGAGTGCGCCAGCAAGTTCTTGCGTTTCGCTAACTCTCCTCCCTCCCTTGAAGGATTTCAGCAATGGGGGTTGCATTTTTGTGACTACACCGGATTTTTATCAACATCATCCTCCTTGTCAATTATCTTGGCTTACGTATTGCATACCTGATCTGTGTCTTTGGGAATGTGCTAATGATTATGAAACTTAGAATTCAAAAGAACAGATAAAGAGAATTTTCCAGGTGCCCGAATTTATCCGAGCACTCTACAGGCACTGAGCAGACTTCAAAAAGCACGAGTAAATCCACATACACGGTTCCTCACATTTCTGGTACATGGAACATGTAAACCACAGGCACAGACAGGTTCACCTGGGGGCCTCAGAGGGCAGTGTCCTTTCAGGGGGAGGTGCAAGTGCAGGTTTCCCAGCCTTGGGGGAGGGGAGAGGTGGGCATGGGGTAGTGACCTGTGCCTGTGGGCCCTGGCTTGGTATCTCAGGTAACTCAATTTCTCTGCCTCTGGTTTTCACATTTAAAGCATGGAAGAATCTGTCAGGAGAGAAAATGACTCACGAGATTGCTCTGGGATTAATTAAAACTTGTCAACGCTCTGCACCACTGGGGGCCAGCTGGGACATGCTCATCCATTCTTCCTGACAGTCTCATGTGTCCTCATCTAGCTCAGCACATGCACACCCACCAGGAACGTGCACACGGGAAGCAGGTCAGCCGGCGTGGCCCTGGGGTGAGAGGGCTGGCGCACACGTCGGGAAACCTGAGGCTCTGGGCGGGCAGGAAGAGCAAGCGAGCCCTAGTGAAAGCACAGGCCTGCCTGCAGGGCTCCCGCGAGGCAGCCTGCTCTTTAATCAGTTTGGAAACCAATTAAAAAAATGACTTCTAGAGTCTCTGAGACCCAGTGCGTCGTGGTGGTGGTGGAATTCACCAGGAGCACAGGGAAATGACTGAAGGGCGGGGTGTTGATCTGGTTTCACAGTTGTGTTTTTGGAAAGGCGGACAAGTGAGGGGACGCCAGCTAGTCACCCGTGTGAGCCACCTAGTCATGAAACCACTGCTGTCCTTGAGTGGTGCGCATCTCTGTGCTGTTGCCTTACACGTATCTGGATTCCTCGTGGTGTTTGCATGTAAATATGTAACCTGCATTTGTAGGTACCATTTTGTGTCATGCAGTTACTGGAATGTACAAAAGAAGTCTAGAATCTTTAGAAAGAGTTGCAAACAAAATTATAAAACCCACATCCCAGCACGATGATTCTTTGAGCTGCAAAGAGCAGGAATCTTTATTTGGTTCATGTCAGGTCTGCAGCAACCACTCGATATTAAAAAAGAGGAACGGAAAGGAGGATGTACAAAAAGATGTCCCATCCCTTGAGAAAGCAGCGTCTGGGAAGTTACGTCCTACAGGTCCTCCCTCCCTCTCCTACGTACCTACTCCCCAAAAAAGACCCCCAGTGAAGCCAACCCGTGAGAAGGAGCGGGGAGTGAATGGATAATGGGAAAAAATAAACTGAATTTAACTGGAACATGCTCTAATCTTTAGTTTATTTCTGGTTAAAAATATAGCAATCCAGTGCAGTGTAGTAAAGAAATCTGCTCAAAAGGTAGCAGAGAAACAGCTAAACATCAGCAAAGCAAGGCGGAGCCGTCGACTGCTGGACCCAGGACGACTGTGGGGTGAGTTCCCTGGAAGGACCTCCCCAGGCGTGGGCGCAGGGGGACCTGCGTGTGGACGCGCCCATGCCCCAGACACGTCCCTACACGCGGCAGGGCTGGCTCCATAGCTAGGACCACGGGGCACTCGGACATTCTGGAACCTTGTTCTTTTGTTTGGATGGTGGGGCAACGCTGGTAGAGAAGGAAGAAACACCAGGAGCCTGTTTCTGTTGGACTGAAACAAGTTACGTTGTATGTTTTGGGGGAGATGGATATGCAACGATTTCTCAGGAATTTTCAACCCCTGGGTTTCAAGCACATTCCTGTCCTGGGACCAGACCAGCTCCAGAGTATGAATGAGGCATCTGGAGGGAAGATGCATATCTAGGGGGGGAGTTGAGGCAGGCACAGGACAAAGATGTGAGAACTCATGGGCTCAGTGACAAAGACAAGGTCATGTAAGGGCCATCGTGGACGTCTGACAGGGACACAGGTGCCTGGATACACATCCTGCATCCTAAGTGCAGAAATGCCACATGCTCAGAGCCCAGGTGTGATGTCGGAGACAGTCCCTGGCTAAGGGGCCCCACAGCGCTCCCTGCCCTCCAGCACCAGCCCCCCGGCCGCAGCGCTCTGCCGGCCCCTGAGTGGCGGCAGCACGGCTTCCCCTGCTTCTCGTGGGAGGTTGGCAGGATGGGGAAGGAGGGAGGGAGAGAGGCAGGGACGGCGGAAAAATCAGGACTTGGCTTTAAGACTCAGTGTGGGGAGCCGGCCTCGCGAGGAAAGCCGTGGGGCAGTACCGGGAAGAGGGCAGGGCCGGGGTCTGTTTCTCGGGGAGGAGAAGAGAAGGCAGACCTCTGCTCCCTTCAGAGTGCAGCACAGATTTAAAACAGAAAAGGCCCAGGCTGCTGCCAGCTGGAATGGGATGCCTTCCTCCCCGTGCCTCGCACCGTACTTGTCACCCGCCATTCCAGACAAGAGTTCTGGAATATCCCAGAGGAAGGGCAGGGTTGACCCACCTTCCCCTTCCACCTCCCAGCAGCTGCTCCCCACCCGCCCGGCACAGCGGGACCCTCCGGGGGTCTTCCTCAGCTGCCTCCTTTTCCGCATCCCAGACGGGAGTGTGATGATGACGACAATTTATTTTTTGGCCATTGATTGGCCAGGATCCCTTTTCTTTCCATGTCAAGCTGGAGGGGCGGCGTGCTGGCCTCCTTCTGCCATGCCACACAGCATAGTGTTAGACAAGCAAAGAATTTTGGCTAAAATCCAAAAAACATTACCCAGAAAAAAAGGCAAACTGTGAGTAATACCCAATCATGTTCTGTGGACTCGGAAGCAGTCGTGGGGCCGTCCGAGTTCCAGTCCTTCCCTTGTAACGTCCCCTTTTGTACACCAACCGTTGTTGCTAACGCGACAATCTCATCAGATGAAAAAGTTAATAAACAAAATGGCGACTCCGATGTTGAGCAAGATCACCATGGCCACCAGGATGGGAGCCGAGCCCTGAAACAGAAAGAGGAAGGCGAGGTGAGCCGCGCCCAGAGGTGCCTGCTCTCGGCCATGCCCCCCGAGGCCAGTGCACGGCTCAGGACACAGGCCGAACGTCCGCCTGCTCAGAGCATCAAGCCCCTCACGTCAGCATCCAGGGAAGGCTGCCACCTGCTTCGGCGGCTGCAGCTCCTGGTGTTGGAATTCCCTGCGGCTCTGAAAACCTGGGCACCCGCCCCGCCCCCATGGCCCCAGGACCCTAAGTAAACACCTGACGCCTGCATAACTGTTGCCTCGAGCTCCATTCAGCTGGGACTTCGGACATTGTCACTGAATTTCAGAGGTGGTCCACCGAGAGAGGCCCCTAAATTCAGCCTGCAACCCCAAGCCCCACCCTGGGTGAGCCCTGAGCACGTCTTCCTCAGGAAGTGCTCCCCCCAGGTGCTACATGTGTTCCCTGCTGACGGCCTGTGGCCGTGGCTCCACCGGGGGCAGCAGGCGGGAGGCCTTCATCTCGCCTTCTGGCCTTTCCTGGGCATGGAGCGCTCGACTCCCTTGGAGCAGAGGCCCCGGCTGACTGGGCACGAGGGGCAGGGCCACTCCTTCCCTGGGCCTGCATCCTTGATGCCTCTGCAGTGCTGGGTGCAGAGGCTACCCTGCTGGATGAGGGGGAGGGGCAGCGCCGAGGCCCAGGGACCAAGCGCTGCTCCTGCAGAGTGACTGCGGGCACCCAGCTGGAAGCTCTGAACCTCTGCCCGAGGGAGCTTTGTTTTTAAGCACCCAAAAGTGCCAGCACGGTTGAGAGGGCTAAATATAGAACCCTTCCTGCATCTCCCACCCCTGCCCATCATTCGGCTATTCCTGAAATCACGCACACACATGCACATGGCTGCTTACACACAAGCACGCACACACACATGATATACATACATGTCACACACATTTCCGGCTGCTGGCTTGCAGAAAATGGAGTTGTAAGTGCGAGCTGGTGTTTAAGGCCCAGCAAGAGGACATGGGGGCTGCTCGCCATGAGGATTTGGGCACAGGGAGGGCAGGAGCACTTGAGGACCCAGCCCAGCAACATGGATGCTCACACTGGTTTCAGGGGGAGGCAGAAATGGCCTCCAGGGCCACCAGCCACCTTCCAACTGGAAGCGTCTCTTCTAAGGGCAGGACACCTGGATGACGGATGACGGATGCGACTTCTCCCAGGGGCGGGGCAGACACGGAGCCTGCCCAGCAGCAATGCTCCATCCCAGAGGGGCCAGTCAGGACACATGAAGCGCAGGTGTCCCCCTCAGGGCCTGACAGACCTGGATCATGGCCCACCCTGAGCGTCTGACCCTGTAGGCTTGGGGTGGGCCAGAGAAGCTGCATTCTAATGACCTCCCAGAGAATGCCAGCATGGGGCCCTGGGACCACGCCCACAGGGGGACCACGGCCGGGCAGAAAAGGGGCCGTGGGGTGGATGGCCCCACATATAACTCTGTCGTCGGCCCCATAGGAGTGGGCTTTGTGGGAGCAGGACACACGTGTTCCAGACAAGCGGACCCTACCACCCAGCCGGCTGTCCCACCTCCCATCTGTGTCTGGCCCTCCGTGTTCCTATCCAGGACACAGGACAGTTCTCAAAGACACTGATGACAAGGGCTACTTACCAGGAGACACCACCCAGAGCAGAGAGGACCCTTCTGGGCAGCGGGGAGGGTTGAGCAGGTTGGGGGGAGGTCTGGGGGAGAACAGGGGTCTCATCCTGCCTGGTTTCTTTCTGGGAGCTTCCAAAACTGCCCAAGTGCTTTCGCTAAGAGTCCAGCCTGGGAGTAACCCTCTCAGGGATCGGGACCTGTCTATAGGGATGGAGACCCTCCGCCCCCCCAACTGGTTTCATGTGTTGAGGGGTCATGTCCCAGTTCCGCGGAAGCAAACGGTGGACGGGCCTGGGCTCTCACCACCCCCAACTCCGCCCCCAGGACCAGCCAGTGCCCACTCACCGTGCTGGACTTGAGCTCGTCCCCGTTCTCCTCGTCTGACTCCAGTGCCACAGGCGAGGACTTCTGGGGTGGGGAGAAGGTCAAGTCCCAGCGCAGCAGCCGGGGCTCAGCCCTGTCCCCCAGCCGCAGGCTCTCCAGTCTCTGCACGGCCGGCTCTGCGCATGAGGCCGGCCTGACGTTCTCCTTGTTCTGGGACTTGGACCTCAGTCTCTGCGCCCCAAAGCCCCGGTCCTCGGAGCGGTGGTCCTCCCCCAGGCCCCGGCAGGCCCCCCCCTTGCTGTAGCGTCTTTTCTGGGGGTGCACGTCCTGCATGTACGCGTCCATCCTCAGCAGCGGCTTCATCTCCATCTCGTAGTTGCTCAGCTTCTCCTCGTCCAGCTCCAGCAGCTTGGCGCCCCCAGAGCTGGGGTTGCCGGCTCGGTGGTGGGAAGTCCAGGAGAACGTCGGGGGCGACTCCGTCCGCCGCTCCCGGGGCTTGGGGTTACTGGGCTGCTTGTGGCCCGAGCCCCGGGCGCGGAAGTCATCTGCGGGCTGGCTGCTGCGGAGGGCGCCACTGCGGATGCCCCTGGAGCCCCCGGCCTTCTCCTCGCCCCAGCTGTTGCGGGCGTAGTCCCCTCCCCGGCCCTCCAGGAGCATCTGGATGTCCCCACCTCGCTCTTCATCCACCGAGACCTGCCGGGAGAAGTGGGCGACCTTGTTCCTTGTGGCGGGGGCTGGGGGCGGGGTGGCCGAGGGGCTGGCAGGGAAGCTCTGCAGGGGGCTGTCGTCGGGGGTCAGGTCTGAAGGGGTAGTGCCTTTGCGGTACAGCTCGGGGCTCTCCTGCTGCAGGGGCGTCCCCGTGGAGATCACCTCGATGTCGTCACTGGAGAGCTGATGCTTCGGCCGCTGGTACTCGAGCCCTTTAGGGAGAAGAAGGGAAGCAGCGGCGGTTACTCGGCTGTTCTGTGCTGAGTCCTGCTCTCACCCGAGGACGGCAGGACGCCAGGGCGACGGGCAGCCAGGGCACTCACCGCTCGCCAGTGGGTGTGGGCACAGTAGGTCCCGAAGCCCCTCCACAGACCCCCAAGTCCCCCACCCCATGCGTGCTTTCAGGTTGACCAGGCAAGCCGGGCAGTGGGGGACAGCGGCTCCGGGCCCCGGCTGCAGGGGAGACCCGAGGTGCAGAGAGCAGGCAAGGACTCGGGCCCAGCCTGCTCCGTGGGGTCTCAGGTCCACCCCCCACAGGGCCCTCCTGAAGATGAAAGGAAGCGCCTCATGCTAGGTGACCTTCTAAGTGGTCTCGTGGCATGGGGTCGCTCACCCTGTCTCCCCAGAACACCTCTGTCTCGGGAGCCTTGGGACCTCTGGGGGCCAGGCCCGAGGTCAGAGAACAGGATGGTCTTCCTGCCCCGCCTGGGCTGGGGCCCCTCCCCACTTCAGTCCAGAGCATTTGAGGTGGGGACAGGAGAGGGCCATGGTGGACACGGCACCCTCGGCGTGGCCAGAAATCCCCAGGTACAGCAGGGGCCAGGCCCCTCCACTTATTAGGAGATGTCCACTGTGCCAGTGGTGGCATGGGAGTGCCACCCAAAGGCCCTCTGCTCTTGCCTCTGGGGGTCTCATCGTGGCTGTTTCAAGGAAGGGCAAAGGCCTCCAGGGAGGCCCCTCATGGTCCTCGAGAGGGAATCAGACGCGAGAGTGCTGGGGAGCCGGATGAGTTGGGGCAAGTGGTCAGCCACTCTGAGTCTGAGTCTCATCTGTCATGTAGGGCTGTGGCCCGGTAACTGCAGACCTCATTCAACAACCGTGCCTCTGGCCAGTGGGGACACGGGGCTGGGCTGCAGCACCCTCCTCTCCCCTGTGGGGTCCAAGGAACTGAGAACTGGCTGCACTGTGGGGAGAGAGCCCTGGCCCTCACAGGACCCCCACCATCATTCCCCTGACGTGCCCCAATTGGGACTGAGACATCCTCGTGGCCCGGCTCCTGTGCCTTAAACCCCCTGGGCCCAGGCAAGGCTGGACACAGCCCTGCAGGGTCCCACGGCCTTCCCAGGAGGCCGTCTGTCCACCAACAGTGCTGGGGTCAGCCCCGGCTGGCCTGCAGACCTCACACCCCAGAGGGAGGCTGGTGCCCTGCTGCTCGTCTCCAGCACCCTATCAGAGCCACCAGCTGGGAGATCATTCTCAGCTAAAATTAGTTTCAGAGCACATGACATTCCTGGAAACATCATTGTGGAAATGCAAGGCAGAAAAGCGAGCATTTGCAGCTGAATTCTAACATTTTTTGTCCTCTATCTTGTGTCCTGGGGTTTCCAAGCCCACTCAGGTCCTTCTGCCTCCCAGAAGTAGGCCTGGCCTCCTTGGCTGCCCCAAAGGCCAGGACCCCTACCAGCAAGGCCGGGAGCTGCAGGGTTCCGGGGGCCCAGCTCAGGGTGTGGTCTCAGAACACAGACCGCAACGTGGCAGATTCCATCCTAAAACCCGGAGCTCCCACTCCGTGCCTGAGCTGCAGCCCGTGGAAGCACAGATCCGAGGGAAGCGGGCCTAACCTGGCCTCCGGGACTTCCTGGTGCGGAGGCAGCCCCCGAGTGAGGCCCAAAGGGAAGTAGGGTGGGAGACAGGTGGGGGTCCAGCCTGCAAGATCTCAGCCTCAGCCAGCCTCTCTCTCATCATCAGTGACCCCCTTCTAGCCATTCCGGCCTCCCCCAGGCCATTCCCTGCCGCCCCCCAGGAAAGGGCGAGGGTCACGATCTGGCTAACTTGCTGCAGCTTCTAGCTCCTTCCCATCATTGTTCCAGAGCCTGGCTGCACAGACCCTGCTTGTCACACGCAATTTACATTTAAATGTAGATTAGTTAAGACTAAACAAAACCAAAGATCCAGGTTCTCAGCTGCAGCAGCCGCAGTTCCCTCGTGGCTGGTAGCTACCTCACTGGAGAGAGCAGTTACAGAATAGTTCCACCATCACAGAAAGTTCTAGAGTGACACGAGGGGGAAGGGCAGGGGGACGCAGCACAGGCACACGCAGACCGTGTGGATGTTCACAGAAAGCAGGAGAGCGATGCACGCAGGGACACACAACAGGGAGGCGGGGAGGGATGATGACACCACGCACGCTCCGACGGGCGTGTCTGAGGGAGGCGTGTGCCCAGGCTCCACACACCAACAACGCGCCATCACAAAGGAGAAGCAAACACGAGGAGAGATGGCAGCACGGCGACGGGGCTTCCGGGGCAGAACGTGACTTCGGAGGACAGCCAGCTGGCCGCCCCGCGTGGCGCCCCGACTCACCGTTTTCCCTGTGCTGGAAGGAAGGTGAGAACTCTTTGGCAGTGATCCTGGCGATCCGCGCTTCCTCCTGGGCCTTCTGGGCTGCCGTGAGGGCCGCCTCGGCCTTGGCCCTCGAGTGGGAGGTCCTGGGCGGGAGAGACAGGGAGGGCGGTGAAGCGACAGAGGCACAGAGGGAGGCCTGGTGGCCACTGATGGACCCCCCCACAGCGGCCTGGGCCAGGACAGGATGTCGGGCACCCTGGGGTCTGCCCCTAGACCTGCAGACCTCTCACTTATTTGTTCATTCATTCGTTCAGCAAACATCACTGGGCGCCAGCCAACCAGGCCAGAGTGCCTGCCAGCCTCTCTGGGCACGGGACAAACCCTCCCCAGCGCAGGCCCTGGTCTGGGAGGGGTGTCCTGCATCTAAGGGCAGAGCTCCAGGTCCTGCTGCAGGGAGCGCCCCTCCTTCCCTGTGTCGTGTCCACAGACTGGAGGCCAGACCCATGGGTGACGTGTCTCAGAGACTCCGGGGCGAGCAGGTGCTTAATCAGTGTTGACCTGACCAGAAACGAACAGCTGGGGGTAGCTGCACCCGCCACCCAACAGGCAGAGTGTCTCTGTGGCATGAGCGGCCACACCGGCCGGGCCCTTGAGCAGTAATGGGCAGGCTCCACCTAGAGATGAGGCCCGCCTGCTGTCAGCATCTCAATGTGGGTGATGGTGTCACTCAGAGCACAGCAGTGGCCCCTCTATGGAGGAGCTGCGAGGCCTGGGAGAGGTCCACACCCCTCTGTGCCTCAGTTTCCCCTTTGGTCAAATGGAGTCAGTGACACCACCAACCTCATGGTGCGGTGGGGGGGCGGGGGTGAAGTCCCTAAACACAGGCCGGATGTGGGGATGTGATCAACATGGATTTGCCCCCATGTCAGTAAACATTCCACATACGTGTGACAAGAGCCCAGACCCGGTGATGCCACACCCCAGGGTGGAGGCAGTGACAGGAGCCACCAAATAAGCCTGATGACATGGCCCTGAAACTTCTAGTGAGACAATCTCCCTGCCCAGTGGTCCCAGCGACTCCACCTCGCAACCCCAGGGTGTGAGTAGTCTCAGCTTGAGACCCTGTCTGTCCCCAGCTGAGTCCCACATGAGACCTTCCTCCCTTTGTAGAAGGAGGGCTGGACTGGTGCCCAAGGCAGGTCGACGTGGGGACTCTGCATCCTACCTGCCTCGTTTTTCCATTTCTTTCCCGCCTGGTGTCCCGGCTCCAGGGGGCCTGCTTCCCAACACCGGGGAAAGCAAGGCACGAAGACCAAACCCCCAAGGCAAGGGGCAGCCTGTCTCTCGGAGGTCTCCTCAGGCTTCTTCTGAGCAGCCCAACGCTCCCAATTCCCACAGTACTCACAGTCCACGGGCTTAACCTGGAGACCCCACCCTCCGCCCGAGTGAGCAGGTCTCCTTTCTCAAAATTCCACTGCGCTAACTAGAAAACAGACATATGACCTATGCACACATCCGGTAAATCAGCACGAACGTACGTCCAGGAAACAGAGCACGCAGCCGATGATGCCTCTCAGCAGGCTCCAGGTTCCCATTAATGCCCCTCTCCCGGCGCTCCCACATCCCGCCACCTGTGGCATCGCCCGGGAGCAGGCCCGGAGCTTGAAGGAAACCTACGTGCAAAATGTAGCACTGAGAAAATTCTGCCCTCCACATAATTCTCTCTCCTAGAAACTGGGAAAAGACGGCCATCACTCAAGATAGCTGCAAACCCATGTCTCCCAGGGGCATAAGCCAAGAAGCACCACCTTCTAGAAGATTCCTTGGGAACCCCATGGTTGTAATTACAACAGAAGAGGGGCAGGAACCTCATGGAGACAAAGCCATTAATAAAGCACTAATTATGGGGCCGGCCCCGTGGCTGAGCGGTTAAGTCTGCTGAGGCGCTGTCCCACATGACACAACTAGAAGCATGTGCAACTAAGATATACAACTATGTACCGGGGGGATTTGGGGAAATAAAGCAGAAAAAAAAAAAGATTGGCAACAGTTGTTAGCTCAGGTGCCAATCTTCGAGAAATAAATAGGGGCTGGCCCCGTGGCCGAGTGGTTAGGTTTGCGCGCTCCGCTGCAGACGGCCCAGTGTGTCGTTGGTTCGAATCCTGGGCGCGGACATGGCACTGCTCATCAAACCATGCTGAGGCAGCGTCCCACGTGCCACAACTAGAAGGACCCACAACGAAGAATATACAACTATGTACTGGGGGGCTTTGGGGAGAAAAAGGAAAAAATTAAAAAAATCTTTAAAAAAAAAAAAAAGAAAGAAAGCACTAATGACTAATAATTTATCAATAACAACAAATCAATTGATAAGTCATCGCTGCAGCCCTCTGGCCCACCCCCAGCCCCTCCCCAGCCCACGGGCTCCTGACCATCTCCCCTACCTGAAGCCAGTGTGTTCCAGGCCGGTGGTCCCTAAAGGTCACAGCCACGAGTTGATGGCAAATTTGGGCTTTCCTGCCCCGGCGCTAAGTTGCAGGCTGATAGAGGCACGTGTGTACCTCGAGAGCCGTCCGCGTCAACACATCAGAAACGAGGGCGGAAGTCTGACTGGGCGAGGGCCAGCGCGAGGCCACAGCTGTCCCAGGCTGCAGCTCAGGGCCAGAGCGTCAGTGACGGAGGACAGGACAGGACGGCAGGTGGCAGGAGCCCCAGCTCCTGGCCACTTCTCCCCCATCCTGCCCCATCTCTCATGGGCTGAGACCCTGGGGGGGCCGCCCCAGCCCAGAAAGCGAGAGGCAGCGCGGATGCCCTGACTCAGAGACCCAAGGCTGACAGAGGCCCTGAGCGACCCCTCGGGGGGCTCTGCACTGGGGCCTCCCCTGAAATTGCACTCAGAATGCCCCGCATGCTTTTCTCTCCCCAAGCAGAGCGCACGGCCCTCATCAGAGTGCCAGGGGCCGCGGGCCCCACAGCGGGGATGGTCTATCCACACACAGCTGGTCCCCGAGGAGAAGGAAGCTCAGCGACCGCGGCAGGCAGATGGGTGGGCTCTCAACCTCGCCCAGAACCGCCCAGGGGCCCAAGCTCACCTCAGCCGCAGTGACACAGCTTCTCTCCACAAGGTTCCATGGATAGTCTTTGTCTTGTTTTTGGTCATAACCGTTTTACTGAGATATAATTCACATGCCTTAGAATTTACCCGTGTATAACGCCCAACTCAGTGCTTTTCAGCGTATTCTCAGAGTTCTGCAACCACCACCACAATCAGGTTTAGAGCATTTTCATCACCAAAAAGCACCCCATTCGCTCTGTCAGTCGCCCCACCAGCCCTGGCAACCACAGGCTACTCTCTGTCTAACTGAATTTGCCTATTCTGGACATTTTGTGTCCAACTAGGATTATTTTGAGGTTTTCTTTTTCCTTTTGTTCTTTTGAGGTGAAACTGACATAAGATGAAGTGAACCATTTTCAAGCCCACACTTTGGTGGCACCAGTACAGTTACAATGTTGGGCAGCCAGCACCTCCATCTAGTTCCAGAACATTTCCATCACCCCGACAGCAGGCCCGTACCCATCAGCAGTCACTTCCCGCTCCCAGCATGCCCCCAGCCCCGGGGGCTCTGAGCGACAATTCAGCCCTGACAAAGCACCCCCCACCGTCACGGGGTCATCATGTGGAATACCCAGACCTTCCCCCAGCTGGCCGAGGGCGGGGCCACACTGTGCATTCCCCTAATCCTGGGGACCTGGGGTCATCAGCTGGCAAACAAGCATCAGAGCGGACCAGACGGAGCGTCCCCAAAGCCCTGTGTCTGGCGGGGACCCGAGCAGACAGTGTCCATCCTGAACCTCCGGTGCCTTTGGACACCAAGCCTGGGATGGCCCCTGCCCTGGGGCACACAGTGTGCTCACATCACAGAGGATGGAATGCCAAAAATCACGTATGTTTTAGGGGCTGTGAACGGAGCCAGGGAGACTGAGCCCTGGGGTGTCCCAAAGCTGGTGGGAGGCACCTGTGAATGAGGAGGCCTCAAGGACGGAGATTTGGAAAGGCCGAGGCTGGCGGATGAGGCTGGGCCAGAGGAGGGCAGGCTCATTCATGTCTCCAGTCCCACTTGTCTCAGAGCATTTGTCCATCTCGTATGCCATCGCCTTCTAGTAAGAGCAGGCTGATAAATGAACCGATGCTGCAACAACTTAAGGTCACGAGGAAAGGAGGGAACTGGAAAAAGGAGGAAGGCTGGGGGTGGGACAGGTCGACACAGAGAGTGCGTGCCTGGGACACCAGTGGATGTGAGCTCCCTGGCAGCCAGGGCAAGTAGGGAGCATTGCTGATGTGGTTCAGGGAGCACCTCAGACCAAACTGAACCCATGGCTCAGGAGAGTGTCAGCCAGGGCAGGCCCTGGACCTGAAGGAAGTTTCTCTCTCGGCCTGGCAGGTTTCCTCCAGGGCTCCTTGTGAAGACCCTCCAAGGAGGCCGCTGGGGCCATGCAAAGCAGTTCAGCGAAGACGACTAGATGGGGCAAGAATGACCCTGAAGACCAGCATCGAGGGTCTGGGACAGGGCCCGGGGCAGTTCTGTGGGCGTTTTTCTCAAGGCCGAGCTTTGGATGGCTTGTGGTGGGCATCCGTCCTGAGGAGGATGTGAGACGGAACATTCTCTGCGGCCTGCTGACGGCTCGTCTCCGCGTTCCTGATGGTTACTGCAGTCGACGGGACAGACGCGGACGAACGCCAAGCCTAAACATAGCCTGGGACCAGAAGACAGGGCGGCAGGAAGGTGGCCTGACAGAGGCAAGGCAGGGCAGGCGGCTCAGGGCAGAGGGAGGGGCCGGGCCACAGTGGGTGGGGAGCTGTGGGTGGTTGTGGGGGAAGAGCGGTTGGAGCCCATGAGCGACAGCTGTGCCCAAGTCCGCGGCCCAGCGTGGCAGGAGGGTTGGACAAGGCTGCGCGCACGACAGTTACAGGGAAACCTAACAGTGCACGAGACTGTCTTTTAAGGTAGCAAGTGTGATGCTCCTCACTCAGAGGAATAATGTGACTATTTATTACACAGGTGCCCGCCTCACAGAACTCAGCTTACACCCCCCAGAAGTCAGGCTGACGGGGCGTCATTCCAAAGCATCTCTGCACCTGCGT